TCATTCCTGCTAATACCGATCTGCGAGTTTAGTGCAAAAACGCATGGTCGCACCGGAAAGCCTGGTGCGTTCCAGCCTAAAAAAGGAAATAAATTTACCTATTAACGCATGTTTATTAATGGCAAAATAGGTATTGCAAACTTATTGACGCGCATTAGTGCATCGCACATTCCCTTATCGTGGGGGCGCGTTTATAAAGCGCTTTTACAAAACAGTTCCACCAGAAGTCATATGGAATGCTCGCAATAGGTCAACAAGTTTGCGATTTCAACAGAAAATGCCCAAAAAACAAAAAATCTTTCAGCCATGAAATGCTCAAAAATCTATTAATCTTTCACCCCAAAAAAACTCTTCTATTCTTTTTGTTATCAACCAAGCCTTGCCGAGCGGAAATTATAACTGACTGCGAACCTGCAGGGCGAACGGGAATTGTTGAGTCGGCAAGGGCACATTCTGCGGAACACGTACGGCACTGCTGAACTCCTCTGAGGGTAAGCTGGGATCCAAATCAAACTGCGTCTCTGCGAATGTTTTCTGCATCATCGGTGACTGCTGTGCGCTGATCCCAAAATATCCACAAAAAAATATAAATGCAGTTAATCGCTGCATCGACATCTTCATCGGTGCGGATGGACCGTAATACGGGAGCTGAAAAGCTGGAGGTGAACAAAAATAAAATGAGAGAGCAGAGAACAGGGCGGAACAGAGAAGTGCCGGATCGGATCACAAGCGTGCGGGAGATTGGGATCGGCGGAGCAGATGTCCGGATCGGGGAGCTATGGTGCATTGGCGACGAGGGGTGGGGGATAAAATCTTTTCTTCTGATGAAAAGAAGCGGGGAGAGGTGGGAAAGTTGTTGAATCGACAGCAGCAATACCAACGGCAGCGAACTGAACGAAATAGGCATAAATACAACACATCGAATCACTGAGTGAACTTGATTAATCCAGAAATCCAGCTAAGTGCACGCGAATAGGTTGATGACAGCGTGTGCTCAGAGACTTCAGATTTGGTCCTGGCGGCACAGGGCAAATTGACACACAGGAAAATCAGTTCTGAAGCTATAGTACTTGTTTGCTATTCATGGGCAAAAAGTAATTAAATATCCTGAAACTTTGGTACTTCAAAAATCCTGTTAGCCGAGGTAATGAAAAATGTGTGTGTACACGTTATTGTTGGAGAGTGTTGCTCACCAAGCAACGGCACTCGACTCCCCTTCGCTAGATTTAAAACCCTTGCTGCACCTACAGAAAATTCAGATAAGTATATTGTACAGATGTTCTCGTTTTTTCGGGTCAAAAAACAGCAAGGAATGGAAGAAGACCAAATGATTATCTGGTCGTCTCCTATTCTTTTCAAAAGTTACCGGTAAACTTGCAATGTAGTTATTTATTTTGTAATAAAGTTGAACTCACGCATTGTTATTAAGTATCATCTTTGTAGGGGACACAGGCATTCGTAAAAGCTGATATTAAATTTTTAATGCTGCATAGAACATGCCAACAATTTCATAAAATTTCAACCTTCCAGCCCCTAATTATCGAAAGAGAGGAGTGTTAACATCTTACAGATTGACATTTGGAGAACCGTATGCAGGACACACGCGTAAGCAAAAGCTCAATTTAGTTTGCAGGCTCACGCATGGGCAGCAAATACCGCTATAAAAAATACAGTCACGTGCCCAGTTTGATTACCGGATTAGTGGGTGCTAACAATTTGCTTCAAAGCTGTTTTTGCAGTTAACTAAAATGGCTGTCTATTTGACAAGCAACAGTTTCACTCCAGAATTTTTTATGCGTTTTGCGCTATATAACAGCAGCACAAAAAGCATATTGTCACGAGTCCGTCTGTGTGTGTGTGTTTGTGTGTGTGTGTGTGTGCGTGGGTGTGTACGTGTACGCAGCAACCTGTCCGCAACTTTCAGCTCGGAAATCACAAAAGCTTGGAAGCTGAAAATTTGGGGGAACATTCCCCATTCACGTGTTTCCCTGCAAATTTAAACCCAGCCTCCCCGTACCCGCGAGTAGACGTACGGTCCCGTAGAAGTTTTGGCGGGTAAAATTATTATCACAGGAACCACAGAAGCTAGAAAGCTAAAATTTTGTGCGCATATCCTCTGCCCACTTGGGATACAGAAAATTTAAATTCAGCCTTCTCCTGCCGCGAGTAACACGAACGGCCCCGTGAAAATTTTGGTGGGTAAGCTATTATCTCGGGAACCACGAAAACTATGAAGCTGAAATTTTAGGATAATGACCCCCTGCCTACGTACGACGTTGCAAATTCAAATTCAGCGTTTCCGCGTTCTCGAGTATCACCTACGGCCCGTGAAAATTTTGACGGGGAAATTATTGTCTCCGAAACCATGAAAGCCAGGAAGTTGAAACTTTACAGCAATGTCTTCTGTCCACATGCAATTCTGCAATTTTAAATTCAATCTTTCCGAGCGTTCCGAGTATTACTTACGGACATGTG